ACTGTTTACCCTCTAATATATACCTTTGTAGACCCTTTAAATATAGTGAAATTGTTCAAAATTTCTATTTTTTATCGTGTCTTATTCGAGTGTTTTTCAAGTGTAAACTTGAAGATATTAATATAAAGAGATATATTACAATATTTACAAGTATGATATAACAAGCAGATATGATTGAATATGTCCTTTTCCTTTTACATATTCTATAATATATCAGACCCTATATATAAAATTTATCCTCTCCTGTCTGGCCTCACTGTTGCCCAATTCCACTTCGTCCGATAGTAGAGACCTTTAACAAAAGAATCATTTTATCATGTAAATAAAAAGGATTTAATTTTATAGCTCGAAAACCTTTGAAGCTTTTAATAAAAGGAATTTTAGTAAGAATTTTTATGAACCCGTTAGAAAGTTCACACTCAAAGAAGTCTTTATTTCAATAAACTATTTAAGACAGTATATACTTTTATATTATCTTCATCAACTTGATAAATCTTTCGTTTTTTTCAATCAAACCAAAAAGAAAGAGAGCATTAGGACCTCTTTGCCTATATTTTCTATTCATAATAATATTTAATGGGTTAATGAATAGGGGCAAAAAAATTAGTAGCCGATAGACAAATATGTTTAATATTCATTTTCAACTTTGCGGTATTTGTTAAACGTTGTGTTTAACAATAGAAAGAAAATTTTTTTTTTAAGTGACCCTTTTAAAAATGGATTGAACAGTTCTATAAATGTTTTGAAACAACTGCAAACACGTAAGTTGACATTAAGTGGATGTTCCACCTTTTCTCTTTTCTAAAGTCTTTATTTGAAGAACGTAATCATAAGATTTCAGAACAAAATGGTCACGTTTTAAGATTCTTGAATGTTTTCCTTGAAAATATCTTTATAAGTAATTTAATAGGCTTTACAAAGCTTCGCTTAGTAATTTTAATCCTCGCTCCGTGAATTCTATTATGAATAAATCTAATAAAGAGGAAAAAAGTCTGATTTTATTATATTAAGTTAATGAATTTTCTGTATACAGTATACCATTTATATGGTTTATTACTTAATTGAAAGCTTGGAATGCGTCTAAGTACTTTATTAATAATTATTAATTATTAAAGTCCTTAATAAATCTTTTATCTTTTCTTTAAAATGAAACATCTACAAATTTTAAGTATTCAATAAATAAGTTAGGATATCCGCTTCATTCTCCCTTTCTTTCTTTCTTTTTTCAATCTCTATACCTTTCTTTCTTTCTCTCCCTCTATCCATTAATAGTATTATTCATTCAAAATCTATATACGCATTTTAGTCATTTACACCTGTTAAGAAAGAGATTTATTTATAGAAGGAAATAATATATATAATATAGGCTTAAGATGTTTTACTACACTATAAAATAACTTTAATAGTCTAACACCTTCTGACTGTTTATGTATAATAAAAAAATAAAAAAATAAAAAGATAGATAGATCGAAAGAAGAACAGAAAGAAAAAAATAAATAAATGAACAAGAGAAAGAATAATTGAATGAATGAACGAACAAATGATTGAAAAGAGAGAGAGAGAGAGAGAAGAGGGTTTTTTCTTTTCCCCTCCTTTTTCTATTATTTATAAAGCATACAATAATTATTTTTTTTCTCTCTTTGTCTAATTTAAATAAATAAAATAATAATTACATGCCTAATTAAGCCTATAAATAATTATATTAAATATACAAATGAGAGGATATGTTGTATATATATATATGGAATCCTGTATATGCTCTGTTATTTTTATTGTAAATATGTGTTCTTTTTATTGGTAAAATTTTTAACAGGTCATAAAAAAATAGTGTCTTTTAACATTTTCCTTCTTTTGTCTTATTATTTATCTTTTCTTCAGTTGTAAAATTGACAGAGACTTTAATTCTTATTTTTTTAAGGGAATAAAACCCTTTTTTTTCTTTTTTCTTTAAAAAAAAAACTTATTTTAATAGATTTTCTATAACTTAATTTGTATTGTTTGTTCTAAACAGTTTATATATATATATACTCTATTTTAATAAATATTAAGTAATTCTATGCTTCTTTTTCATATAGAGAAAGAACTTAATATTATCTTACGAATTGGCATTTCTTTTCCTCTTCGTAGAAGAGAAAAATTTGGCACCTGTTAAAATATTTTAACAGCTTTTATAGGCCTAGTAGAAAACCGCAAAAGCCAAAAATTTACAAACAAATCTAGTATTGTTTGTGGTTTTTTTTCTTGTATTAGTTTGGTTAAGGATATAGATACGGTAAAAAGTTGAACTAGGAAATGAATAAGATAGGATATAGTCGGTAGTCTAGAGCGAAGAGGACGGGGGTATTTCCCAATAGTTTTTAATCTTATCCAGAACACGTTTTCTTATCTTAACTATTTCTTTATTTTCTTTTCGTAGTAGTCGTCTAGATTTACAATCAGGGTCAAAAGAGAACTAAGACATACATCCTTTTGGATATGGTTTCTTTCCCTCTTTCACTCTCTCTTAGAGAGTTCTACATTTAGTTCAGTCAAAGAATCTTTAATAAATTAAATAAAAAAATCGTTCAAAACCTTCCTTTTATAGAGTAATAAAATTTATAAAGTACCTAATCCAATCACCTTATTCCAACAGACGAGAGAACGACGTTGTTCTCAATTTCCGGTTTGAGTTTGTCAACATTCGAGCTTAATCTGACAAGGAACGAATTGCTGCTAGGGGCGAGGTATGTAGCTCAAAACCTAATAATAATAGTTATAAGTGATATATAATTGAATAAATATTTATACGTTTTTTAACAGAAATAAACTATTGAGATTGAATATAAGGAATCTATCGGACGTCATTGAACAAATCGAATGGAAGGCGGAGAAAAGGGCGTTATTAAATTGTCATTTGCTCAATTCTACTAAAGTAGGTTGACTTTTATTCTTTGATTGTTATCTATCCATATAATTATCAAACATTACAAAAACAACATATATATATAGATATATATATATAGTATATATTAATATATACAATATATTTAAATAGGTTTTTTTTACTTGCAAATTTTCTCTTTTTTCTTTCAAACAAGATAAAACTTGTAAGAGACGTTCGATTGAATAGAAAATACTTTTTTGAACCTTTAAAGAGAAGGGAAGGTATATAATTAAATTTTAGGCCTACAGAAAAAAATGCTAATAAATTCACGGTTGATAAAATAGTTTTAGGAAAACATTTATAAAAAACTACTCATTTTACCCAGAGGAGCTATATAATGTTAGAATTATTCCTTTTTAAACCCTAATTACATAGTATAATCTCCTTTGAACGAAAAAAAACATTAGTAGACACATTCAGGCACAGACAGACCCGGATATACAGAATACACACACAGTATATCAGTATAGACAAGTACATGTATACATTCATCGTACACGCATATTACTACTGTATATTACTACTTTAATTTCCCCTCTCTTCTTCCACGCTCTTCTCGGCAGTCTGCACAATGTCATAGAATTCAGAATTTAAGGTTCAATAATTTCGATTAGGGTCATAGTTTTATCTTATTTATTTAACAATAAATAAGATAATGGGGATTTTTTATGATTATATTTTTTCCTTTTATATTAAATTGACAAAAGATTGATATTTATGGAAAAAATGTTTATTTTTTTCCTCTTTTCTATATTTTGAATCAAAGACTTTTTTACTATAAAAATAGATTTTGTTTCGGATAAAACCCTCATTAATATGCAATAATTGTAATTTTAAACCGTCATACGTTATCACTGTAAGCCTATATGGTAAGTTTAGCCTACTACCCAAGTAAACAGTAGGCGTTAAATCTACAATTAATAGTCAAACTGAAAAGATTATTAGAAAAAGGAGATATAATACAAGAAGGTGGGGAATGGGCGGGGATAATAGGTAGGAAAAAATACGGACGTCCCCTAATTTGCCAATTCAAATATAATCTTTTTTAACATACACTATATAAATAATTACTTATATCGATGTATTAAGCAAACATTTGTAGCTGAATTTGGATCGTTAACAATTCAGCTTTTACGAAGGAACGTTAATTTAGGCCAATATGTTTACAGTTGTGCTCGAATGAAAACATATATTGTTTACTCCTTCTAAATCTAAGTGTATATATTAATTCTTTGTTAGAAGGATTGGAAAAATATACATCTAAGCCTGATCCATCTTTTCTTTCATTGTTATTATTTCTTTTCTTTTTTATTCTCCTATTTTATCTTTTATCCTATTGATAAGATTTTATTAAGATTATCAAATTACATAAAAACAAGAGGTTAGAAGGAGAATATTACTAAGTACAAAATTAGAAACAAACATATATTATATTAAGGTTTACCGTATTAGTGAAAACATTCGCACGAAGATTAATTTATTTAAATCTTTTATAAATTTTTTAGGTAATTCATTATTTCGCTCAAATAGAAAACTATCAACGGTGTTTTCCTTTATACTATTTAAAGATCTATGCTGTTTGTTAATAGCCAATAGATTTCTGCAGACCCTACTTACTATTTATATATATATACTAATATATACATATGTCCATATTATCCAGGGTAGTAAATTTAAAATATATTTATTAATAGTTTCCTTAACTAGTCTATCTGTTTTAAGCGTTTAATCAATTTAAACAGTCTTTCCTGTTATTACTATTTGTATCTTTTTCTATGAAAATATATCCTATCTGTATGCTGTATGTAAAGAAAGATACGGTGACAGGAGCAAAGAAAAACAGTAGGAAACAATTCAATACTGTTAATAAACTTATATACTGTAGGCCTATTGGAAAGAAATCTCCTTGTTAAGCATGATGAAATGTTTACTTTAAATTTAAAGAGTGTGTAATAAAAATATTTTTTATTTGGACTAGAGTATGCCCGTGGTCAATACGTTTGTAGACTATAAGGCGATTACGTCAGATATATAATGGAAGGATGTATAGTTCTCTTATCCTTGCTCCTTCTTCCCTAATGATCGTTATTTATTTTAATTAACACCTAATTATCCACTATTTTTGGTTTTTCTTTACAGGAAAAATGTGAGAATTTCGTACAAACATTAATCTGGAGAGGGAATCGCATTTTTGCTTGCGGTACGAACGCTGGTAATCCATTATGCGCTTGGACAGCCGTAAGTAGGAAATACGTAGGCCTTTAGTAAAATGAAAGAAAAGATAAAGAAGAAAATAGAAGATAGTATAAAGAGCTAACTTTAATTTATAACTTAATTAACAGGATGATAATTTGTCGACGTTGCAATTTAACTCTACTAATGAGAAAGTATCTAAATTACTATCGCCGTCCTCGACTAATTATAACACAACCATCATTATCTCTGATGACGGACAATTCTACAGTGGAATCTTTATAGAACAAGAACAAGTATTCGATTTTATAAGATTAAAGTCAACTATTAGTACTCAAACTCTTCATGTTGTTCCTAATAATCATATGTGGCTAAACGGTAAGTTTACCATTAATTATAAAAAACCTATTAAATGAATTTCCTTTAATTTTTGACTTAATGAATTTTAATTATAGATCCGCAGTTTGTTTCTCTGTACGAAAATGAGCAGTACGTTTACATACTATTTAGAGAGAGGATTTATCCGAACTGGAAATGCGGTGGTTTTGTCTATTCCAGAGTAGCGAGAGTTTGTAAGGTTCGTAGGGGAAAAATTTCATAGTTGGGGGTAATGAAAGATTTATCAGGAATTTTTTTAATGGTAACTGATAAATATTATTTTCGTTTTACCTATTTCAACATCAGATATTAGCGTCTGTAGACAAATATTCTCTCTTCCTCGGAATTGGCCCATAGCCAATCCTTTTCCTGATTATACTCCTTATATCTTTCTCTCTTTATTACACGCTTATCTAATGGAACATCTTTCAATAAATAGATACATCCTTAATTTACAACCCTTAAAAACTTATTTGAACTAAATAAAAGACTCATTTAAACACTTGGTATAATCTCCATATTGTTTATTAAGAATAAACGTTATAAATCAACTATTTTTCTTTAAAAATTCAACACAATAGAACGCTTAAATCTTCTTCTTCTTTCTTAATTTAATAAAAATAACCCTTTTTTCAGAACGATGCGGGTGGAGCTTCAAGCTATAGGCATTTTTGGTCGAGTTTTGTAAAAGCTCGGCTAAATTGTTCCCTATCCGGAAGAGATCCATTCTATTTTGATTACCTTCAAGATACGATTTTAATTAAGGATGGACATCGTACTATAATTTATGGTATTTTTACAACAGGACCGTAAGTGTACACTTTTTTATTTCCTCTTCCTTTGTTAACGTTTCTTTTAATAGTTGTAAAAACAAAGCTTTTTTTTATCATTTTAAAGAACGAGCGTACACGGTTCGGCGATCTGCTCATTCGATCTGAAGGACATTGATGAAATTTTCCAAGGACGTTATTTATACTTCGATAACGCTGATAAAAAATGGTCTAGCGTAAAAAGTGACAGGGGAATTGTAAGCGTTTTCTCTCTATCTCTTACTCCCTCCTCTATCTCTCTCTCTCTCTCTCTTTTATCATTTTCTCTATATAGTTTATATAAAAATAATAATAAGGTTATTTAGAAGAATTCAATAACATAATTTTCTAATTTAACTATAAATAAAATAAGAAAAAAAAGAGAAAAGGACAGAAATAGAATAATAAAACGATTTAAAAGATAATGGACCCTTGTCTATCTTCTTTTCCTCCTTTTTAAAGGTATTCGTTATTAGTCTACAAATAAGGGAAAAGCAATTTCACAGTAGATTTAAGGGGTCAATCAAAAATAAAAGAATATTAAAAGTGGGTCCATTTTATCCTAACTATCGAAACTGTCTATTGCTGTATTCTCGTGTATCGATGATTTATTGCGACCCTTGTCAAAAATTTCAATTGAACTTTTAAACCATGTTTTCTTTTCTATAGTTTAATTTTTTTCCCCTTATCATATTTCAAAATTCGATATTGAGAGTTTTCTATTATAATAACAAATCTTTATTGAAATATTTGATAAATATTTGACAAATCGTTTAGAATTAATTAAAAATAGAGTTCTATCTTTATCTCTTAGTGCAATAAGAAAATATCAACAAGAAAGACAAGAACGCATATTATTGCCGAAACACTCGTTCCTCATCAAAATCAATCTCCTTTATTATACGCAGATAATCAAAGGTTTGTTGATAGATATATAAAGTTGTTACTACATCTCTAACATCCTTTAGATGGACGAAATTTGTAATTGATATAGTTAAGTTTAAAAATGACGTCTATCAAATATTCTATATTGTTAACTTGGAGGGAAACGTAAAGCAAATGATAAAACTTGGCAACGAGACTTGTGTTCTCAAGGAAAGAAATTTGAAGAAATCAGTAAAGAAATTACAATTATTTCACGATGATACAACGTATTTGATAGCTATGACTAGTGAGAAGATAGTCAAAATTCCGGCTGAGAATTGCAATGCTTTTAAAATTGATAGGTATGGAATTCTCGTTAATTAATTATACTACCAATGTATCAGGTAAATTAATTATATTAATTAAAATTTTATAGCGAATGCTTCTCGAGTCAAAATCCATATTGTGTATGGGATGCAATCTCCTTAAAATGTATTTATAGACGACGAACGGAGGATACATTAGCAAACGATAGGTTATTTAGACCGTTGATTAGCAGCTGTCCTACAATTAATCAAGAACCGATAGCTAAATGGTCAAATTGGAGAACATGTTCTAATTATGATAGTGGACGCTGTCTATGTAGAAACATGTTGGATAAGGTCCAAGTAGCTAATTGTACAGGTATGCCTCGTCATATACTTTTCCACGTCTATAGCGTAAATTTTTAGCACATGTTTTTGGTTAAGAGTTGGGGGTGTAAAGAGAGGGCTCTGAGATCAGACAAAGCTTTTTATGATATGGCCTCCCATCATGAAGATGCGGAGAAAGAATTTCTTTATATATATTTTTTTTTGCGCGCTTCATTTCCTATTTTAATCGATTCTTGCTTATTATTTACTGAGATGAATACTAATTAACCCCTTTTTGTAATTTCCTCTTTCTTCACTACTTTTATCAGTAAAATTTCTTTGCTTCTCTTCTCTTCTTCCCCCTTCCTTTATCTCTACTTCTATTTCCTTCTTACCGTGTCCAAATCCATTCCCTGAAAGCATTTATTTATAACTAAACTGTCTATTCTTATCTGTTATATAATGAACTTCATAAATTATTCTTATCTTATATCAAATAAATGCGCACACGTAGGTAGACAAACCTATGTTCAGCATAAATTTTAAGTAGAACGAACCGACTTTTTTTTTTTTTTTGCACTATCTAATCACAAAAAGAACCAACGGAAACCGTTATAGATTTTAAGCCTATACACTTTTTTACCCGACCTTTCCTAAAATATGTGCTGCATATTCTCAATGTATACGCTATAGACAATATATACTATATATATAATACATTGTTTACATTTAGCTACAATACTGTATATTATGCATATGTATGATTTAGGCCTACTTTTAAGTTCAATTCCATCAATTTTATATTTTTGCGTTTATGTTTTCTAAGTTGATGGACGTTGGTCAATATGGAGTGAATGGTCGGGTTGTTCAAAATCTTGCGAACAAGGCCACAGAAGTAGAAAGAGAACATGTTCGAATCCATCACCAAAGTTTGGTGGTACTTCTTGCTTCGGGTTATCAGTTGAAAAGCAAGCTTGTCTGCAACGTTGTAAAACCAAAACTGATAGGAGTAAGGAAAAATTTTATTAAATTAAAATATATAGCATTTTTTTTTTAAAAAAAAAATTCTCTTTACTTTAAAATAGAAATGGAAAGAGCAAGTTGGCATAATTGGTCCGAATGGGGCCGATGTTCAAAACAATGTAACGGAGGTTTTCAAAAAAGATATAGAAGATGCTCGTCCAATAGATTACCTTGCATTGGTGATAGAACAGAATGGAGATCATGTAATAGTTCACCCTGCAGAGGTCTATTTCTTCTTCTTAATATATATACTTAAATAATAAAAAAAGACATATATTTGTCGTACTGTAATTCACTATCTGAAAGGGATAGAAAGAGTTTTGAATGCTCTTATTTTTCAATTCATAACGACTATAAGTTCTCCAATACTATTTGTATTCTTCAATAAAAAAAGGTCGCCCTCATCCGCTATTAATTATGTGCCAGCTGTTATAAGCCTAATTTTATTTTCCTTTGAGCGGGAAAAATTTTGATTTTCCTCCTATAAATATTTTAAATATTTCTCTCTTTTATAGCTTTCAAAAAATATACAAAATGGACAAGTTGGCTAATTTCGAACATGTCTATTGACGGTACAAAAGAGCAAATGAGATATCGATACGCCTGCAAAGCGAACGTTGATAGATCGTACAATATTAAATTATCAAAACCAAAAATTGAAAGACGAAGATGCATTAACCGGAAATGTCAATTTTATGGTAGGATCTATATTTTTATCTTCCCTTTCTTATTTATTTATTTATTTACTTATTTTTGCTTTGTACACAGTATTTTCTATATTATGATAATTGTTTTTTTTTTACCTATAATTGAAAAAGTTTATCTATTAAATTATACAGAAAGTAGCGAAGTTTATGACGATGAAGGTTGGTTTACTTTTCTGGGGATTGAGAGAAAATAATACAAAAAAATACAAAAACAAAACAAACATAAACTTTCGTCGCACTGTAGACGGCGCTCTCTGCTTTTTATTGTTATCTTATGTTAGATAGTATACTTGTTAAAAAATTAAGTGATAAGAGATAACTGAAAAGGAAAAGTGGAGAGCGCTTCTAAGAGCTATAAAACTTTTAATATATACTCTATAACTAGGACAAATTGGCTTATATGATTTTAACTTGATTTTCAACAACTTTCATTTTCTTATTAGCCTTTTTCTGCTTCTATCTGCTGATCACATAATGTAAAATATGTTTCTTAATAATTTGCTTTAATCTGCCAATAACGCCATCTTGTGGCAAGAAACCGAATCTGTAGTTTTTTTCTGTTTACTAGTTTTAATCAATCGCCGTTTGCTTTTAAACAGTTTCGGAAAAGAATGGCAGAGTTGAAAGTCGAAGGGCAACTGACCAGTACGAAACTTGGTCGGAGTGGTCGTATTGTACGGAGAGGTGTGGTGGCGGTGAACAGTTAAGACATAGAAGATGTAAAACATCCGATAATCTTTGTCTCGGCCACGCTGTTGAGAAAAGGATTTGCAATATCCACTCGTGCCATCCGCAATGGTCTTGTTGGTCAAGCTATTCGGATTGTACGAGAACATGCGGCGAAGGCTATAAAATTCGTACGAGATCGTGCCAATTTGCCGATGGTACACCATCATCCGAATGCCAAGGTTCCGCTATGACGAGAGAATCTTGCGAAATTTTTCCATGTCAAGGTTCAACAGCCTAAATACAAGTATTAAAATTGATTTACATATTTCTAAAATATATCTCTTAGATGGTTGGAACGAATGGTCCCATTGGTCAGACTGTAATGAAAATCAGCTAAAATTTCGTAAGAGGAATTGCGCATTACCATTTTCATATAGCTGTGACGGAAGTTCTATAGAAGAGAAAATGTGTTTTAGACCAACTATTTCCGGTTTGTTTATTTCAATACTAAAAAATAAAAGAGAAATGATTAATAAGTTTATAAAATTGTGGACAATATATCCGTACAGAACTAAAGCAGGAAGAATTTAAATTAAAGTCTTATCATTTGGCCATAGTTGGACTATTATGTTTCCTATTGGGATTAGTTTCGGGTGCAAGTCTAATTTGGTTGTATAAATTCTTAAAGAATAAATTTACTAAGAATACAATAAAAACTCCTAAGGAAGCTATCTACCTTCAAAAGAAAAAGAAAACCGAGGACAATCATTACGAATCAATGGACATACCCAAAAAACGAAGATCTGAAAATGGTTCAATTCCTCCCGAAAGGGCTACTAATACTCCACAAGTTAAAGTCTATCCAAAAACGGATTATAGTTCCAGGTATCATACTTGGGGACCAAAGAATCGACCTGGTTCTGGGAGACATTCTAATCGCGGGCCTAATTTAAGTCGAAAGAGTTCATTTAATAGTTTAAAGAAAAGTCAGGGAAAATTAAATCCTAACGAAAATTACGATCGATTGGATTTTCTAACGCAAAAGTATAAATTTGAAGATGGAACTATGTTATGTTAATAAGACTATAAAGCCGAATAAAAGCCAAAAAAAGAAAGAATAAGAAAAAATACATTTTATCATTTGTTCATTCTCTCTTTCGTTCCCTTTCATACTACAGTATATCCAACCATTCAAAGATAAATTGCAGTGAGATCTGTTCTTTTCATTATTATTTCTTTTTTTGTTGTTTATTTTTTTTTACCCTAGTTATATTAATTTTATTCGTAATGCTAATAAAAATTTAATAACAGGCCTACTTTGTCAAAAAAAAATTTTTATATACAGATTTATGCATTAAAACATACATCCTCTTTGTAAATAAAACGTTTCTAAATATTTAAAATAAAGGAATTGGATAGCTTTAAGAATAAACTTAATTAATATTCATATTCGATAGACTATCTGTCTTATAATATAAAAAAAAACAAAGTATTAGTAACCCTAGGTAAAAAAGTTGAGGTAATGAATATTAATAAAATGTAATATGATTAATATTCATTAATTAATTAATTCAAATTTGAATAGAAGAAACATTAATATCTAAAATGAATTCGTAATAATTGAATGTTGTAAATTTTGTATTAGTTATAATAAAAAATGTGTTAGAGACGCTGTAGTCGTTTCTGATTGAAATTTTGCATTGATATTATCATTACCAATTAAACGATTTGTTATATTTGAATATATTTGAATACCGTTGGGTAATTCTTTAGCAATTTTCTCATCTAAATTACTCAATAAATTTTGAGATTCTTGATCATTTCTTCCACTTTTTAAGAGGTTATTGGCTATTTTAAACAAAGCTAAAAGTCCTTGATTTTCAGCTTTTAAGTTAAGAATTTTTGTTTCTTCATTTTCGTAAATTCTTTGTAAAGAATTAATTTCTTTTTCGTATAACTTTAAACAATTTTCCGATTGATTTACATCAATACGACACTGTTGCAAAAGTTTTTAATTAAATTCTGTATTCTTGATAGAAAAAGGGAAAATACTAATAAAATACTATAAAAAGTGAAATCAATAAATACTGTATGCTGTAGAATACCTCGCTTAATTGTTCTAAAGTAGCTGTGTGAACTGATTCTAAGCTTTTAAACTTTCCTATCATTCTAGCTAATTCTGTTTGAAGGGATTTAACTTCGCCTTCAATCATTCCTTTAACTACTTGAAGATCATCTTTTGAACCTAAAGATCTCCTCATATCGGCTTTAGTTGATATGAAAAATACTCTCGTATACAATTATTGCTTTATTATTTATCGAATTGAATGGAATGAAGATGTTTGAAAAGGATATATTTTAAATATTTAAATTAAATCTAAAGTAGATAATAATAAAGAAATCCGAAGACAAAGGCCTACTAATGACCTAATGAGCTAATATCTAATAATAATAATAAAGCCATCAAACTGTTAATGCTAAATCTTTGAGATTTCTCTCAAATTTCTTTGTATTCATATAAAATTCTTTCTACGGAAAAAATAATAGTTTAAACTTTTTGCGTAAAATATTTAGGTAGATTGAAAATGGGAAAAATACGAAGATTTTCTCTATTTCTTATATTTCTTATTCTTTTGTTGCTTTTCATCTTTAAATTTCTTTTCTTTGTTCTGTTTCTTTCCTTTTTTTTCATTCTTCTTATCTTGTTTTTCTTCTACTTCTTTCTCTTCTTTACGTTCCTCATTCTTATTCTTATTCTTATAATTTTTCTTTTTCTTATTATCTCTTTCTTTCTCAACTTGTTTCTCTCCTCTTTCCTCCTCTTCTTCTCTTTTTTGTTCGTTATTCTCTTTTTTCGATTTTCTTGGTTTTTCTTCTTTCTTAGTTTGCTCTTCTTTTTTATTGTTATCTTCTCTTTTCGGTTTTTCCTCCTTCTTCTTTCTCTCTACTTTCTTCTTTTGATCTTCTTTTTGATTATTCTTTTCCCCCTCTACCTTCGGTTTTTTAACTTTCTCGCTCTTTTCTGTTTCTTTCTTTTCCTTTTTTTCAGCTTGAGTTTTTTCAACCTTCTGTTTTTCTATTTCTTCCACCACAGCTTCTTGTTTGGCTTCTTCAGCAACTTCTTTATCCTCACTCTTTGAAATTTTCTCTGCTTCAACTTCAACAGATTGAGTATTTTTCACCTCTTCTCTTTTTGCTTCTTTTTCACTTTTCTTGACTTTTTCTACTTTTTCCTGACAGCTCAACGGTGCTCTTTCACCTTCAATTGCTAAGAAGAAAACAAGATTCCCAATTAAACATTTCTTTTACTTGAATTAATATTAATAAAAAAATAATTACTTGCTGGCTCTGAACCGTCATTTTTAATCAGACCGTCGTCTATATCTTGCATCCATTGTTGAACAGCTCTACCCTGATCAACTGGTGTTAACGTTGGGAAAGATGAAATATCCATCCATGCAGACTCATACTACAAATGAAGAAAATAAAAATTTAATTGGTTTTCATCATACAATACCAATTATTAAACGTTACTTACTGTTTTAGAGTTGATAAAGCCCAAATGAGGTTGAGATAAATCAATTTTTAACAGAGATTGCCAAACGTCGACCAACTAAACGAAGTTATTAAAATTGTTAATACTATGTATAATTTAATATTTAACAGTTCTCGAATATCTATTAATATATCTCACCATTGGAAATTGGTCTATATCTATAGCGAGCATAGGATTTGCTGTTGCATTACAATATCTAGCTCTTCCTTTTATGACTTTAAAAAATGATCTTCCTGCTGGAGAGGAGGCTGAATAGAAGGCGACGACGTCGTTTTCTCTTTCACCCCATAAAGAGTGAACATTTTCTTTGGTTATTTTCAGTAAAGATGTACTTCTATTTTGTCGAACAAAGCTAACTATTTCTTCAGTTGTGGCAGGCTATTGAAGATAATGGATATGGGTCAATAAAATAAAGAAATAATGTTAGTTTTAAACTTACAATTTGGGGACATTGTACTCTATCCTTTCTAAATGGAAGAACTAACTCAATGATACCAGTTCCCTTACAACGAAGGCTATTGGCGATTAGTTGATCGAAAACAACAAAGAATGGTATGTTGGGATGAAAAAATTCGGCAGCTTGTTCATAAAATTTATAAGCACCACTTTCTTGTTGAAAAAATCCAATAACCTTTGTTCCTTCGTAGCTATCGAAGAGTTTCTTATCTTGTTTATTTGCTATTTGCGTAACCGCAGTAGAATTAACCTAAAAAACGGTTAACACGTACTTAATCTCTGATAAGCAAATGATAATGAAAAAAACAAAATTTCGTACCTTGCTAATGAAAGACAATAAAGTTTCAGGTAAATGATAACCATTGAAATCGAATGGTTTGCCTTGTCTATATACTTTTATTGCTCCTGGTTGTTGTAAGCCTAAAAGTTGTATAAAAAAATGTGTACTTTAAAAACCTTTAAAAGGCCTAATCTTATAGGATTACTATACATACCTCCTTCTGCAGGGGCTCCGTCAGCAAGATTGTATACGCCAACAACAACTTGATTATTTTCGAGAACTTGCGCAGTTGTCTGTAAAGATGTAGGCAGATATAAAAATAAAAGAATTGATAATAATAAAAAAAATTCAGTCAATTGCGTCATAAGTACTAAGATATCCCTGCAAAGAAAATAGATAAGAAAATATCACCTTTTTTATTCTTATCCTAATCAACTATTTCTAATCTTTAGATTTTGTTGAAAGTAAAATATGATGAATAATAGAAGAAAGAGAGTTATCTTTTCTCCTCCTTTCTTTATGTTCTTAGTCAATTCATTGATAGAATTTTAACATTGAACTAGAAAATTATATACTAATATATATATAGGAAGAGTAGAAAATAGTACAATATCGCATCTTAGAGTGATAAAAATGATAATCTCTCTGATACTCTTCTACTTTTATTTAAGATAATTGATAGTACAAGTTTATATAGTAGTTCTTTTTTTTTCTTACAAGGTCATAGCTGACGGGATAGTTCTTCCTTTACGTGATTTATAAAATATTCAAGAAAATGATTAATAGAGGATAACACCAATTCAAACTACTTCTTGTATGTTGATAAAGCAGTATATATACTAATATATATGTAAAATATAAGAAAGTTTTCATAAAAAATCAATAATACCATGTAAAATCATGATATTTTAGCGTTAATATATAGGCGTCATCCCTTTAAGCGATTTTTTCTTTTTAAAGGTATAATACTTGAATTACCAACCTCTAACATTTTATTTATAGTGTCGCTCTTCCCTTTTTCGTTTTGATCATTTGCCAATTCGTAGTGTACAACGACAACGTTCTTATTTTGAAGGGTACTCTGAAGGGTATCGGCGGTCAGACGGACAACTCTTGAAGTTCCATCGTGGTAGGGATACCAAAATCTTTCATGGGCTGAATGCGTCGAGCAAAACGCTAAAAGTAAGATAATCCTAATCATTGAATTCATGATTAGAATGTTTTTCAATTAGTTCCTTTTTGTTGAATCTTTCTACTCTCTTTGAAGAAATATCGTCAATGACTCACTAGGTGAAGCCAGGCAACTGTCTGATACGTTCAATACGTCATAACCGTACAAGCGCCCTCTATCGACAACTATATTTAGAAAGATATTTTTAAAAAAGTATACCTCATGGGGTTTATATTAAATTATAAATAGTTTTTAATTTTGTATTAATATTTTATATTAAGATACTTAAATTAAAAATGTTGTAATACATTTAATATTTTATGAAATAGAAATCCAATTGAACAATAAAAAGTTATCATAAACAACGCCATCTATCTGTTAACATGATAAAAAAAACCGGTTACTTTTTTTTTTGCTTGTTTTCTGTTGAATAAAGTATAGTAAAATATTAAAAATACTTGTAATGATTGAATTTATAAACTAATGAAAGTACAAATTAATACAAGTTTAAAACCACATTAATCATTATTACATTAACAAGATTAGATTGAAATAAAGAGAATTCGAGTGAAATTTTATTGGTCAATCCTTTTTAGCTGCTTTGGATCTTTGTTCTATTCTCGTCCTTAAGTCGTTCGGTTGTTCGAGAGGCGGTGGACAAGGAAAGTGTAATGCTGGCTGGAAGCAGGAAAGATGAGGATAAATGTAATTTGGTTGAGGTACTGGTAAAGTGTGTCTCCAAGCTGGAGTTTGAGGCGGATTAAGATTACGCCATTGTTCTGGTGAATGAGACGGAGACGTACCCAAAGTTCTTGTTAATCTCGAGCGAGTCATTTTACGCCATTTAGCTCGACGGTTCTAAAAGAGAAGAACATATTTGTTCTTGAAAAAATTACAAAATTCTCCTACCTGAAACCAAACTTGAATACGGGATTCTGATAGTTTAATACGAAAGGCAAGTTCTTCTCTAACAAAGATATCGGGATAGTGAGTCCTAGCGAATAGTTCTTCCAAAGCTTGTAATTGTTGTGGAGTAAAGGTAGTCCTATTTCTCCTCTATCAAACAAACAAATTATTATAAGAATTAGATAATAAGACATTAGCTAAGTATAGAAAAATAAAGCTTATTACTTGACGTCTCCTACCCAAAATAAAATCATCTAATAACATATCAGTTCCAACGTTAGAGGTTATTCGAGGAGTGTCCAAGAAAGATAATCCGGTTGTTACCTGTTCAATAAGAAATAGTCATTACGCATGGATTCGTTTTTATCGTCTTTTGTTGTATTTTATTTGTCGATGATCAGCACGATAAAATTACATTAACAAACAAAAAAAATAAAGAAAGGATAGAAATAAAATAAAGGAAACTGCAATTGCTCTTCGTGACGTATTTTAAACTATGTGCAAAAAGTAAGTAATTAAGAAGATAAAATTCAGTAAAATGATATATTTATATTATATTAACATGAATAAAGGATTAAAGATTTCACGACTACACTTTAATGTTTTATTTATGTAAATAAATATTATATATGAATAAATTATATAAATAAGATTTATAAAATTTATAATACTATCTATATGTTACTTTTAAATACTTGTTAACAGCTTATACACGATTAAGAATTTCAATAGATTACAACATTGACAAAGTAGTGATACATTGGAAAAGTTGTGTCAATAGAATTAAGAAAAGGATTATTAATTCTATCATGATAATTTAAATTTAAAGGAGAATAAGGTGTTTCTTTTATTCAATTGTTTGGTTTTTCTTCCTATTTTTTACTTTAGAAGAGATGGGTGGTGGCATTTAGTTCACTTTTTTAAATAAATAACTGTCCTTTGTATGGAAAAATCGAATGAATTATCATTTTGCCTTTTAATCTGAAATAACTTTGATAAATAGTATCCTGCTGCTATGACTAGTATTATATGTCAAAATCATTTTTTTATTAATTAACATTTAAAAAAGTAAGGATAAGTAATACAAATTACATTTTATTTCTCTCTCTCTCTCCCTCTCTCTCATAGTTCGTATACTAAAATTAGTGTTTATTTAAATTAACCTGCTAAGATTATCACTGTTAAGAGAGCGAGAAAAAAATAATCTATTCAATATTCCAAGATAGTATTTAAAATAAATATAACTTTTAAATTCAATTCATTGCCCTTTAATGACTCTTTTTATGTTAAATTCTTACAAATTTATAATTATATTTGTAATACTCCAAAGATTCATCTATAATACTTAGGTGTATACTTACAGACTCTGTTGATTCTGGTAAAGGTCTACTACTATTCATTTGCATTCCACTGTGTAGTAATTTCAACAAGTAAAACGTAACACCATCGACTACCTTAATTCGGATTGTGTAAATAAGGGGATATTGATGAGCATCTGGGAGGAGCTAGCGTGAACGAATCGTCGTTCTCCTCTTGTTATTTTCAACCAATACGCGTCGAGTTATTAAATTCTTTATTAAATATATCTTTTGCATTTTATGTAAGTAATGAGAACGTAAGATGGAATACTTCATTTAAACTTTTTTTGCAGAAACTAAAAAGTTTTAAAAATATTTAACAAATTGTAAATGCTGATAGTAACTCTATTGTTAAAAAGAAAAAAGCTAATATATCCTCCACGCGCTCTAAATGGTGAGATAAATAAAAGAGAGGGAGCCGACTAAGAGTAAAGCAGATTGTTAATTAATTAAACCATCGGTGCGTCTTTAAATGGGTGAAAAACGATGAGGGCGGAAACAATGACCCACCTTTTGAAGAGAAAACAAGACTCCCCGCCGCCCTATACAAATTCCTAACAAATTAAATGTCATTGCATTAAAAGCAAATAGAATAACGTAAAGAAAGGAAGTGGGTATAGAGAAGTGGAGATAGGATAGAAAGGAGTTTAATGTAAAATAGATGAAGAGGAGGACATATGGAAAAAAGTGACTATGCCACGGGAAAAGATAAACAAACTTCTTAAAGGATATTTTAAGGCTATAGCGTCGAAAATTAAAAAATAAATGAAAAAAAATAAAGAAAAAGCTACGTGAAAGCATTATTTTATCTTTTTCACGGAGGAATGGGTTTCTCTTCATTTCCTTATTCTTTTCACTCTTTAGCATTGTCATAAATGCAGTTAATTACGAAAATGGCATATTTGAATAGAAGGCTCTCTCTCTCTCTCTCTCTTTTCTTTCTCCTACTTAAATTGATATTCATGATTGTATGACTTTTTCGGCTGGACGCAAGTTTAAACTTCTGTTAATTTAACTCAATAAATGAAAAGGTTTAATTAGTCATTCATTCATCTTTTAATTTAACCTAAAAAAAACTCGAACTTAACATTACCATTAATCATAATCGTGTCTAAATTCCTGCTTCACTATTACTTTACACATGCTATTTTTATAGCAAATTTATATAAAATTATTTTTTTCATGTATTAGAGAAAGAAAAAATAATATTTAAATAGATAGATATTCATAAATATTATATACATATTTCAAAATATTTATATTATGTGAGAAAAAATTATTGGTTAGTACAAGAGGATTAGAGAGAGTGAAAGAGAGAGAGAGAGAGAGAGAGGGGGGGGAGGGAGAGGGAGAAAGCAATAGGAGAGGAAGAAGTAGACAGCAAAGGTATAAACGAAGACAGAGCAATTAAAGATTACGAATAGAGGTAAGAGATTTTTTTAACTGGATATATCTTGAGTTATAATCTTTTTAATTGTAGTTTATTATCCATACGTTCTGCTTTGTTTATTCTCAATCCTTCTTTGTCTCTCTTATTCTCTCTCTCTCCAAGTGTGTTTTCTTTCCGTCCTTCTTCTTTTTTCTTCCCCTCCTTCACTATCCCTCTTTCTCCTTCTCTCTCCCTCTTTCACCTACTATCAATCTATTTCATTCTCTGTATTTCATTTTTTTTCTCTTTCTTTCTCTTCAGTGAATTGAACATTTATTTCTTTTTGATATATTTTCAATTTTTTTTTTTACTGAATTCTTTCAAGTATCTTCGGTGCGTCACAAAAACCGTCTAGATTTCATTGAGAATACCCCTGACAGCTGATGTTATTTGAGGATACGTAGACGATTAAAAAAATGAAAGTATTATTATGGTAAAATTATTGTTGTCAGAATTCGTCTAAATTACCATGAACCGTCCATGTATTCTTTGATTCTGTGACAGCTTTATCGTAAGAAGGTAAGAAATCGGGAGAACTTTGAAGAACGTTCTGATTAGTATCCCAACTATTCTTTCTCAATAGAATTTTTCGAAGACTGCACCAAAATAGAGCACTGATAATAATTATAATGAATCCTAATAAAGCCACGGCCATTAATGTTCCAATTTGCAAAAGAAATTGAGCATTATTGTTCCATTTATTATTATTATTATTCTTTTCGTCTCCTACTCTATCAAGACTCTCTTTCACCATTGGAACCGTGGATGATGAAATCGTCTTGAATTCTTCTTTATCTTTTAATTTTTGAATGTTGTATTCACCAACCGCTTTAATCAAACATTTGATATCTCTTTCATTGGCAAATCGTCCACCTATATGTATATATATGTAAATAATTGTTCAATCCGCTAATTGTATATAATACAAATAGAAAGACTATAAGATCACTTACGAAATTTTAGACTTATACATATTTGATTGTTCCAAATTTGCCTCTTAATTAGACGTTCATAGGCAGGTACCGTTAATTCATTTTCAGTATTACCTTGTATCGAATAAACAGTCTTTTCGTTATGAAGCAGTTCTAATTTTACAGTCTTCTTTTGCTCAATGCAACAATATCTGTTAAATGTTTAAATAGTTAAACAACAATTTCTATTATCAATAAGTAAATTAGTTATAAAACTTAATGGAAATAAGAAACCTTAAGGAAATTGTTGAATAAGCTGAAGAAAATAATATAAGAATCTTTAAGAGAATCATCTTCTCCAGGTTCGCAGTGGCGATAAAGTACTAAACTTTTAACAGGCACTGATTAAATACTCAAGTTACACTACTCAACTTTAGTATATTATATAATACGTATAATAGTGTAATGATAAATGTATATTGAATTATAGTAAAAGAAAGGAAATATTGAAAATAATATTGTAAGATAAGTAACGTTGTTACATTACAGTGCAGTAGAAGGGTAGAAAGACGATTTCTAAGAAATCAAAGCTATTGACATGTAAAGAGAAGTTGCTATATGGTTGATAGGTATGGTCATAAATTACAATACAAATATATGTGTAGTATAATGGGCTCTTTATCATCTACAAGAGAAACCTCCTATATATTCTTCATTTATTATTTCTAGTTAAATCAAACAATTTTTCAACAATGTATTAAACATAATGAATTATCTTAATTAATAAATGATCAAAAGAGAGGAAGAAAACTAGAGGAAAATTTCTCTATTCTTTTATTTTTTCTTGTTTGTTATAAATAGATTCTACAAAATTTTTGTGTGGTCATGAACTTTTAGTTAAAAGGAAAAGTATCGCCAATGCTAATACAAAATCATTCGTCCATCTTTTACGCTTCACCGAATTTTCTTTTCTTTATGTTTTTTCCCCTATTATACTCTTACTTTCTTATTTAAGGGATACTTGTTTTGTTTTACACTTTCCTTCCACCTTAGACTATATAGACTAGTAAATACGCATATTTTCATAATAGTTATTGGGAGGGGGACGGGGGGAGGGGGGGGGAAGTAATCTATTACTATTTTTATTTTATCATACCTCTCTATTATACATAAACCAATTTAGTAGAAAGGTAAAGGAAGCGAAATGAAGAAAGACTTTGAATATTTTGTATATTTTATTTTCTTCATTTTCCATCACGTAATCCATATTTCAAAAAAAAGAAGAGAGAGAACAGGAAGTACCTATTTTCTTTTCTTTTTTTATAAGAATAATAGCTAAGAGCTAAGGAATAATTAACGTGAATTTTTGTTTAAACTTGAGTAAAATATCTACGAAAAAGAGAGAGAGAGAGAGAGAGAGAACATAATAAATAGAATGATAACTAAAAATACAATAAAGCCATTCAATTAATAATTAATTTTCACGAAAATAAAGAAATACTTGTAAGTATGGAGTACAGAACGAAAATTAATTATTACTGTATTAAAATATTAATAATAATACTTTGTTATTAAATTTAAAAAGAAAAAAAATTCACAAATTAAAATGAAAAGATTTATTCTATAGATAAATATAATATAAAAGTCAATATTTCTTTAATTTTGTTCCTTTTATATAAAATTACTATTGTTATATATTAGTTTAACAATTTTCTTAACAGCTTTTTTTTCCATTTTTGAATAATTATCGAAAGTATTATTTACATATACAAATAGATAAATAATATATAACATATATTAATATATATATATATATATATATATACATTAATATATTTGCGTGTTTGCACACTAATATATTTCGTGATTTATCATTATTTTTCCTAAATATATTAGTATTTATGCACTATTTATTTCTAATTATGTTAACTTTTAGGATTTATTTCTATAGTTAAATAGGAAACTTTATTAATTAATAAGTGAAAAAAGTAACGATACTAATTGGTTGTATTGTTTTCATCAGTTTATCTAATTGTATATATTTTCAATGAACGATACTAAAATCGCTACGCCATCTAAAGGATATTTCTTAACATCAAATTTTGTTCTAATGTAGTTTATGTTACAGGATTAGTACTAGATAAAAACAACAGAGGGCATGACATATTGCAATGTTACGTGTGATCTCAAAAAAAAAGTTGAGAAATAATACAATGTAGTTTGTTATAACTGAGAAATTGATTGATAATTTTTCCTTTCTATTTATTAATTGCAAACTTTGCTGTAGAAAGAGAAGTATAGGAATATGTTTGTAATAAATTTTTAACAAAAGGCTATTGGTGGTTCACTTCCATTGAGACGTTTTTTAATAAAACTTGCAACTTTCTAGAGATCCCATGAAGTTCTTATTGGCATTTGTTATCCCCCTAAATTAATAATAAGAAAACTGCCTTTTATTATGTTCAAAAAGAAAAGAACTCAAGGCTAAACTCTTTTATAGCGCCTCTTTGTGATCACTTTATTCTTCTAGTCTCAGATTTCGCACATTAGTATGAAGTAGAGAAAGAAAAACAATTTTATTCCAAAATATTGGTATTTTTTTCTCTGTTTCTCTCTCTCTCTCTCTCTCTCTCTCTCTCTGTTTGTCTGTCTGTCTGTCTCTCTTTCTGTATGCGTGTCACTTGTTCTCTTTGTGTGCTTTTCTAGTTCTACTTTTGCCCTTCTCGTATCGCTCTCTTTCTCGTCCTCTCAAATCGATAAACTACTAATTAACTAACATACGTTTGAAAAGTCTATGCTATATAAAGTTGTTGTTAATATCAAGAATATAAATAAGTCGAAATATTTATAACAAAGGATCTAGGCGGATTGTAGAAAAACGAAAAGGGCATGATTTTGTCCTTCCTATTCGTCATGATATTCTATTGAAGATGGGTTGATTAAGAAAAGTTTTCCCAAAACATTCAAAAAATAGTGCAATTAGAACAATCTTAAGAAAGTTTCAATGTAGCCACTTCGTTTATATTTTCTCGTTTTTCGCATAGGATAGATGAATAGAAGGTGGGACACGAATAGAAATTATTGATATATTAAGTTTACAGAGCAAATCGACAGAAGGAAAAAACGAAGAAGAATTAGATTTAAGAGAAGAAATATCTATTAGATATTATCCGCAATACCTTAATTTATATTTTTTATGTATTATATTCAAATATAGAATTTAAATTTATAGGAAAAGAAACAAAATTTTCTTTCTTTATTGCAAAAGGAGAAATATAAGAAATTTTTACAATTAACTAAGTTGCTTAATAAATTTTCTCCATTTTCCCTTTAAATATTTAGTTAATACTTGCAAGATATAAATGGTGTATAAAAATCTACTAGAACTAGTACTGAGGTCAATGTCTGAAGATGTATAGTGTATATATTAAGTATATATTATTGTACAGTAGATATATATATATATATATTTATATACAGTATATATAGATATATACATTTAATATGGGAAAAACAAGTTAGAATGAGGTATTTCTTCCTATTCACATTCGCTTCATGTTGTCTTTAAATGAAAGAATCATTCATAAAGTTAAATGACTTTTATAATAAAAAGAAAAAACAAATTTCTATTATAGTCTCTTATTATACGTGTACATACAAATCGATTAATCTAATATATACTAATAGCGTTTATTGATATACATTAGATTATTTAATAAATTGTTTATTCATCATTCTTTCAGTTTTAACTTGTTATTATTTAATATAGTTATAAAAACGAATTATTATATTGTAATATAAAAGAGAATAACCTTTTAAGGGAGGGAGGGGGGAGTTCTTTTTTCTATTTTCCAGAATTTATAATTAATAATGTATGGAAAATATTTATTTAGTGATGCTTTTTCCCTTTAAAAAGCTAAATTTTTAGTTACAATAGAATGAAAGTAGAAGCGGAATAGGACAGAATGCTGAGAATCTATTCATATTTTAGTACCTAAAAAAGGTGTCAAAATAATATTAATTCTATTTTCTTCTTATTTTTCACTAGTATTAATTTGCATTAATACTGGAATAAAAAAATCATATTTCCTCCGCCTCCTCCTCCTCCTACTCCTCCTCCGCCTCTTCCCATTCTCGCCCTCTATTCATATAAAATAAATAATTAACATATTAGTATAAATTATGTAATAAAATAATTGATTTTATTTAGCATATTGAACAATAAGATATTTTTAAATGTTGTACTAAGAAAAGATGGTAGAAATTAGATAGATTGTAAAGAAATGTTTATATTTGTTCTTAGCTATAAAGAAATAATAGGCAGTATATTTTCAAGCAATTAGCTGAATGTACAAAATACGATCTATTGGTAAATATACAATAGTTAGGTGTGTATTATTAATAATAAACTATAATATTAGATTTTAAAGGGTACATTGGACAACAAATATATTTATATACAATATATAGTTGACCTAATTAATAGCCATGAATCAAGCATTTTTATAGCTGTTTCTTTCGTTCCGTTCCGTTTCGTACTAGTTGATTTTTTTATTAAAAGGAAAATAAATATAACATCTATAAAAGAAGTATAACCTTAGAAACTTGTATAAAGAATTCTTAAAAAATCTTTCTCTAATATTGTCTCTGTCTTTCAATTAATTACAATAATGATATTGGCCCAGGCAACCTATTGTCCATCGTACTGATTTTAGTTCCTTGAAAAAACAATAAAAAATACACCTTGTTAAGGCAAAAAGAATAAGCTGCCCTATTGTTATTTGTATAAATATGATCATGCATTACAAGTATAGATGTACAAGGTGTCATACGCTCTGTCCTGATCCATTTCAATGAATAGCATGTTCGCCTAAGATGACTTCCCTTGATAAATAGTTTAAGTTGGTTCTCTAACTTTCTCGAATTGAAGATTTTTACTTCCTTAGATTAAGTTTTATTTAGCATTTAACATTTAAATTTGTGTCTACCAATCGTATTTAAAAAAGCAATCATGCTCTGTTCTCAACTTGGTGCATTTCGAATATATTCTGTATAAGAAATTCTTATTTTTCTATGCATATATTAACAATAAACTGTATGTTATAGACTCTATTAGTAAGCACTCTTAATATATACACTACATGAAGATTATCCGAAAATTAAGATGTTATTTAGCCACCTGATAAAAGTTTTAAGTGGTATAATCTTACGTTCCTTTCACGTTCGGTCTTCTTTGTCCTTCTTCCATCCTCTCTATTGATGATTTTTGTTATATAAGATGATGATTTTAAGGAAAAACGTAAATTTTTCTGTTTTGGAATAGACTGTGCAAAAATTTATTCCTTCGTCTTCTTTTAAATAAAAAAAAGCACTTTCTCTTTACATTTGTTCATCTTTCTATTA